TAAGTTGCATATACATTTGAAGAAAAACATTTTCTTGGATCAAGAACACCGGCATTGTGTTAAGTAAAAAAAAGTTTCAAAGCAAATAAATAAAATGATTCGATTCAAGAAACATGAATTCTCCAGACAATACTTTATTATTTCGCTTAAGAACATGATATTCTAGATTCAATACTTTTTGGTACTTCGGAAAAGTAAAATATTTGGTTGAAATAATTACATATTGAGTTCCGCCAAATACTAAATTGTTAATTCAAGAATTCTGTTCAATGCTAATAATTACTTGACACAAGAAAATGAATTTCTTTCTTCAAATAAATATGGGATTAATTGAATGTAATTTTTAATCAACTTGAAACAAATATTTAGGGGAGAGTCTCCAGTTGTGAGACACCTCCAGTTGTGAGACAGTCAATTTTTTTTAACATGCAATATTAAAAAGACGATTGGCTTATATAAAAACATTTCTTTTTATATGAGCCAACTGTTTCGTGTACGCCGAAGCGGATATATAAACTGTTTTTGTTAAATACCAACACTGTGTGTGAAAATCGACTAAAAAGCGTTTTTTCAATAAATGCAAAGTACTTTTTTTTTAAGTTAATTAATTGGAAAAGGTAAATGTAATGTATTTTCTTTTAGTGTTTTCCTTATATTTTGTGATGCAATATTGCATTGTTCCAATCTACGGTTGAAAATAATTTAATTTTCCTTTTTCAAAATAGCGCCAATTTCTGGGTGTGAGACACAGCATATCACCAGTTGTGAGACGGTGTCAACACCCATCTGGGAAGCATAAAAAATACGACTTTGCAGGCATACTATTTAAATGTTGTTTTGATTTTTTTTCTAGCATTTTTGGGCATATCAAGTGGAAAAAAAACAATTGATTCAGAAGAAATCTATTTTAATGCTCTTTTTCAAGCTATTAAATTGTGTTTATTTGATAGTTATATTTTATCGAATAAATATTATTATTTAGTATATAATAATATATATTATAAATATATTTAATTATTTCTACTAAACATAACGTTTTATGTCAAACTTATTAAATTTTAGCAATTTTTAATGAGTGTCTCACAACTGGAGACATTTTTTTTTTTTGAAAAAAGCGATGTGCTCGGAAAATGTATCGTAAAATTTTTTGAGTTCATCGAAACACTATACTTTCTTTTAATAAAAGTTGCGTATTTCTGTTACCTTTCGAACGCTGTATTTTATTTACAATTTCGTTTACCCGTTTACAATTTACGGGTCAAAAATGAAACCCGTCTCACAACTGGAGACTCTCCCCTACTTATATTAACCTTCGTATTTTCTTGAATCAGGATTATATGAGCGTTGAATTAAGTAAAAACTTTTTTAAAGGAAACAAAAGAATGATTTAATTCAAGATCTTACACTTAATTGAATTGAATAAATAAAATATTTCATTCCAGAAAATATAACATTCTCGCAAGAAATTAATGTTTTTGAAACATGAGAATATAGAAATGCTTCAAGTAAAAGAAATGTTTAGATTAATGAATATTTCTTTGAAACAAAATAATTTTTAATTGAGTTGAAACAATTATTAACTTGTATTAATCTTCCCATTTTCTTGGCTCAAGACTATGGGTGTTGGATGAAATAAATAATTGCTTTAAAGGAAATAAAAAAATGATTTGACTCAAGATACCAAATGACTCAAGGTAAATTACTTGACGTGAGAACATGATATTCTTGATTCAATACTTTTTCGAGACTTGGCGCATGTAAAACAGTTCGTTTGAAACAGTAAGATATTTACTTATGTCAAACCCATATTTTCTTATTTCAATAACTTTGATCAATGCTCAAAATTACTTGACACAAGAAAATAAATTTCTTCCAATAAGAAAATATGGGTTTGTTTCAAATAAATCAGGTCAAGAAAATGCATTTACTTGATTCAATGAACTTTTTTTTTCAGTGTAATTGAAAGTCACTTTTTCACTAAATGAATTAGTGAAACTGTTTTATCGACTATTAATAAAACAGTTCTAATTGTTAGTGGGTCAGAATTCGTGAAATTTTCACAGAAAATAAAAAGTATTTTTTTTAAATCGAAATGTTGAAAAAACATTTCTATTTGGCCTTAAGAATGTGTCCACCAAAAAACAGAAAAAAAAATTATTTTTTATAAAAGTTATTGCAAAATTAATTTTTTTGCAACTTTTTAAACAAAATTTGATTTCTCCTAAATGAATGAACCGATTTAAATGAACCAAGCGGGAATATCAAGGGGATAAAATATACTTTAGTTTAGAATTAGAAAATTTTTAAAAAGTTTATTTTTTAATAATTATTTAATAAATTTTTTATAAACAATTAATTTTTTTTTAATGTTCTACGCCTTTTAAAAATTTGAAAAAAATATTAACATACACTTAAAACTATAAGAAATCAAAATGCGTTGAGAAAATTTTGGAGCGAAAATTATTTTAAAAGTTATAAACAAATTATATTGGCGCGGTGTTGTGCATCAACGCTGAACTTAGTTTTTTATCATTTTTATCAATTTTTATGGTTATATAATTGAATAAAAATGTTAATTTGACAGTGTTTTGTTCATTTCGTAGTTAAAAATAATGTTTTAATTCTGAAAATCATCAAAATCGCATCTCCGTCCAATATAATTTGTTTATAACTTTTAAAATAATTGTCGCTCCAAAATTTTCTCAACGCATTTTGATTTCTTATAGTTTTAAGTGTATGTTAATATTTTTTTCAAATTTTTAAAAGGCGTAGAACATTAAAAAAAATTAATTGTTTATAAAAAATTTAATAAATAATTATTAAAAAATAAACTTTTTAAAAATTTTCTAATTCTAAACGAAAGTATACTTTATCCCCTTGATATTCCCGCTTGGTTCATTTAAATCGGTTCATTCATTTAGGAGAAATCAAATTTTGTTTAAAAAGTTGCAAAAAAATTAATTTTGCAATAACTTTTATAAAAAATAATTTTTTTTTCTGTTTTTTGGTGGACACATTCTTAAGGCCAAATAGAAATGTTTTTTCAACATTTCGATTTAAAAAAAATACTTTTTATTTTCTGTGAAAATTTCAGGAATTCTGACCCTAGTAGAATTTTACTAAGCAATTAGTAAAATCTACTAATAATTAGAAAATTTCACTATTTGTTAGTAAAATTATTACTAAATCATTTGGTGGAAGACTTTTCGTCATTTCATTAGTAACTTTCTACTAATTCAGATTTAGAGAGCGTGTTTTCTAACAGTATCGCAATTTTTCAAATACTTTTTAAAATTATTTTTACTACTATTTAAATATTTGCAATATTAGCATACATGATAGGAAAAAGTCTTGAACAGTTCATTGAAGACTAAATTTAGGCCAAGTGTCCGCACGTCTATAAGCGATATATAATGTGCTTTCAGAATGATTCAACTTCATATGAATTTTATCAACTTCTGCAGACATAACATAAGAACCCAGTTGATATACGCGTATAAGAATTACTGCACCTAAGAAATAATTTGAATAAAAATTAGTTATTTTTCTTTATATTTTTTAAATCTAAAACTTATTATATGAAATTCATTTTTAAATAAATTTTTATTAGAAAATTCTACGAGAATTCAATTATTTAAATACAAATGTAAATAATTTATTTAATAAATGAATAAATGTTTCTTAAAATTTAATTCTTTTATTTCAACTTTTATATCAACTTTTTATATAATTGAATTCTTTCGCCGAATTTTAATAATACTGTTATTAATAATTACATTTTTTGAGGGATTTTATTAAAATTGTATTAAAAATTTTATTATTTATGGAAATAATTGAATTATTGCGAAAAATTTAACAAAAAAATTTACAACAATTGATTTTTTTTAAATGAATGCAAATTCTATATTTAATATGTACCTAATTGAATTCCTGTGAAATTTTATTAAAATAGTAGAATATTCAAAATCATTGAAAAATTTTTGAAAATAATTGAAATTTTTCAATTTATGAAAACAATTGAATTTTGCAATGAATTTTATTAAAATTTCTGAAAATAATTAAAATTTGTCGAAGAATTTTGGTATTCAATTATATAAAGATAATTGAAATGTTGACGACAATTCTTTTTGGATTCTTTGAAAATAATTGAATTTCTGCGTCGAATATTGTTATTTATGAAAATAATTGAATTTTACAATGAATATTATAAACATTCATGAATATAATTGAATTTCGGTGAAGAATTTTGCTATTTATAATAAGATAATTAAAATGTTGACGAGAATTTTTAAAAAATTTTTTGAAAATAATTGAATTTCTGGAAAGAATTTTACTATTTATTAAAATAGTTAAATTCTTTCAAATAATTGCGTTAAAAAATTTTTTAATTGAAACTAATTTAAACAGAAATGAAATAAAAGTTTTCAAAAAAAAATATTTAATTAAATGGTTAGAATTCGTGGTAATTTCATAGTGTATGAGACAAACAAAAATACAAAAATTCAGAATTTTTTTATAAATTCTAAACATTTAATTTTTTCCTGTACTTTTAATAAAAATCCCTGACTTTTCCCTGACTTCCCTGATTTACCTGACTTGTGGCAACCCTGATTTTTAAGTCTGCAATTCTTAAAGTTTGAACTTTCAGCAGATTATTCCGCTTCTACAATTCTTCTTTTAATTTTGAGTTTTGAAGAATCTGTTCTCCAAGTTGTTTTTTCATATTTTGCAAGAGCACTTTCCCTTATACTAACTGATAAATATATTAGGTACAATAATTGTGAATCTCTATCCAACTTTTACAAAATTTGTTACTTTTGGGGTTTTTATTATTAAGCTACTCTAAGTGGTGCCAAATTATAAATTTATAAAATAAAGTATGTTTATAAAATGTAATTAAGTTGCATTAATTATATGGAATTCTCTTATAAGTTAGTGTCTATGTGATAAATAATCATTTATTTATTTAATACAGGATTTGTCATAATTACAAAACAGAAGATTCTAGAATTTTGTGAGATAAGAACATTTTATTTTTTATTAAATTTACAAAAGTAGAAAGAAACGATTTTTCATAGAATAAAATTTATATTCTAAATACCACATGAAAATATAAATTTGTTTTCTTATTTTTCAGTGTTCTTAATTAACTGATTAAACAATTCTAATGTCAGTAGGAACAAAATCAGACAAATAGGCATTTTAGACAACTATGAAACTGAATTTACTGGCTACAATAACTAAATTTTACGTATTCAGTAAGAAGCGAAAAATTTAAAAGAATTCACATGAAGTGAATACGTGCATTTTACGTACTTTTTAAATTTATTTCTTGATTTAAAGCCTCGCTTCTTACTGGATACTTTTAAAAAAGTTGTTACCTAAGAGAATGCTGCTAATAAACGTCGCATATCTACTACTGAAAGGTATTGAAAAATTTGGTTAATTTCCATAGTTGTGAATTGAATACCGTTATTTTTTTCAATCAGATTCAACATGGAATTCATACATTTGTCGATTAGTTCTCTTCTTCGTTTGCCTTTTTCAACACTCAACTTTAAAAATTCAGCATAAGCTGGAAATCGCACGTAAGATGACTCCACGATTTGAATCAATCCAGCATTTCTTGTGTAGATCGCAACTTTATTTACAGATTGCGTTAAAATTTCGTAGAAAGTTACACGATAATCGTTGTCAATTTCTGTTTCTTCCATTAATTTTACCTCACGCTCACATTCATCACGCCATTCGACAAGATTATGTTTCTTATAAAATTGCAGATCATTCTCAAAGTAAGAATTACGGGAAATAATAAATAGACGCGCAGCGAACAATTTTAAAAGATCAGTGGGATTTCTTTTCCAATCAACATGATGAAGGGAGTATTCGGTTTCAATGTGACCGATTATAAGTAAACTAATGTTAGAATCATTTAAATTTGAATGAAATAGTGGTTTGATATCATTTTTATAAAAACAACTTCTATAATCATTGTATTCAAAAATAATATGCATCAATTCTGAACAAAATTTACCAGAATCATATCTTGTTATATCAATCATTAGTTCTTCTGAAAAGCGATTAATTTGAAAAACACTCAGGTGATTAAGGAAGCACATTAAAAATTCATTTCCATATTTTCCAATTTTGTCAGTTTCTTTAAATTTGATTTCGTCCAAGATAAATTCTTCTGTTTGTAGTGAGCTCAAGGAAGACTTTTGTTTAGTTTGCTCAGAAACTGTTATTTTATTTGCGAAATATGATAAACTTGACCATAATTTGTAAGGATCTTTAGTTTTACTAATTTCTACAATAATCAACATTTCCGCGATGTTTGAGATATTTTTGTACATCAAAGAAGATGGGGTCCACAACTTTTCCAATTTTTGACCTCTGCGTAGTGTATATTCTAAAGCCATATAAAATTCAGCAGTATCAATACCAGCCTCGAGGAGAAATTTAACAACAGTTGGTTGTCCTGCAGCTGCTGCAAAATGTAAACAGGTCTCATTTTCATCTGTTATTGTATTCAAATCAGCGCCGGCGTGTAGCAGCATTTCGACTAATCTGGTATGATTAAATGTTGCTGCAATGTGAAGAGGACTTCTATCTCTAAAACAAGTTTTAAAAGAATATCCCGCTTCTAGAAGGATTTTTAAAATTTCTTCATTTCCATTTTCGACTGCAATGTAAACGGCCAATCTGCTATCAATCGAATTTGTATCCAAGTCTTTTTGCTTCACCATTTTTTTCACAACTTCCGTTAGACCCTCTCGCACTGCTAAATGAAGAGCTGAATTTGGTGATGCGTCAATTTTCGAACTGTTTTTTAATAAATATCTCCAAATTTTTAAACTTCCTTCAGAAAGTGCTAATTGAAGTATCGTTTGAGACCCAAAACTAATAAATTTTGTTTTAACTTTAAAATCACATTCATCTTTCAACCAGGCTTTAGAGTTTTCATTAATTTTCGAACCATTTTCCACCATATACTTTAAAATTTCATAGTCATTGTTTCTTACTGCCAAATGCAAGGCAGTTGGACAACCGAAATTACTTCGGACATCTATTGCGTTAAATCCATTGATCATTAGTAATTTGACCATTTTGTAATTCCTGTTCATAACTGCGTAACGAAGAGGCATCATCATAATTTCGTGTGTTTCTTTATTTGCCTTCTGTTCTTCACTTATTGTAGCACCATTTTTTAAAAGCAATTCGACAAGATCAATGTTATTATGTATCGCAGCGAAAGCAAGTGGCGTTCTTTCATTTATATCTACTACATTAACATCAGCGCCATTTTGTAAAAGAAACTCTGCTAATTGGATGCACTCTAGTTGTATGGCAATATGAAGTGGTGATTGCTTATTTTTATCTTGAACATTAACATCAGCGCCATTTTGTAAAAGAATCTCTGTCAACTGAACGTATTTATTTTTAACTGCAATATGAAGTGATGATATACCATTTAGTAATTGCAAATTGATATTTGCACCATTTTTTAATAATCTCTCTACTAATTGTATATGATTTCCATGTACTGCAAGATGAAGCAACGTAAAACCTCGAAATGGTTGAATGTAAAAATCAGCATTATTTTTTAAAAGAATCTCTGTCAATTCGATGTTCTTTCTATAAATAGCAATATGAAGTGGTGTATATCCGTTCATACCTTGTATATTAATTTTTGCACCATTTTTCAAAAGAATTTCTACAAATTGAATATAATTGTAGCCTGCGGCAAGATGAAGCGGAGCATCACCATAACCATTTCTCGTGTTCAAATTACTTTTCTTTACTAGGATGTCGAACACACTTGGATGATTGTTAATTATCGCTAGGTGCAGAGGTGTGTTACCCGAATCATCTCCTTCATTGATAGAGAAATCGCACTCGCAAAGAAAATTAACAATTTCAGAGTGTCCCCTTGCTGCTGCTGTATGCAATAGTGAACGTTTTTCTTCTCTTTCTTTTAAGGAAATGTCGTCAAATAAAAGAAGAAAGGCTTTTAAATCTCCATTATAAACAGCATTATACAGTGGTGTATCGATTGGACAACCACTATAATCTTCATCTTCTTCATATGAACAAGGTCGTTCCCAATCGTCATAATCTTCAGAGGACATGTTGGATTCTTAAAAATAATCTCCTTCAAATATCTGTAACAAAAAAAGGTTAAATTCACATCAAGTTTTTGTAAACTGTATTACTAAAGTAGTTAGATCATTCAACCTCGCGTCGTAGTTATAAATTTACTACAGGCGCATAAATAATATTCCATGATTGTCATATTTCTCAAAATATTACGATGATTGAATTTATTTGATAGAATTTACATATAAACTTTGAATTTTCCTTTTTTCTACGACAAAATAGAAATAAAAAATAATTTTTTCTGAAAAAAATTCAAAACCACTTAAAGAATTCGATTTTGTTTTCCCACACGGAGAGAAAAAACAAGGCCGTGAATTTTTTTTTTTTTTCCCGTGACTTCAATTCATGCCTTTTCAGGTAGCAGTTTCACCGGATTTCCCGATGAATTTCATGCGTTTAGCGGTTAGGCCACGCCTTAGCCCTAGAATCTCACCGGGAAAACCCGTGAGCGTCCTGCATTTTCACTGTGATAATTTTCACGTGTTAAATGCATATTTTTCATGGGGAAAAGCCTTGTTTTTTCTCTCCGTGCATGAGGAAGTTTTGCATTCGAGACGATTTTCAATTTTTCAAAAGAAGGTTATATGGACTCATTTTTATCTAGAATATATGTGGGCGATTCTCCGCGTAGCACACAATTTTGACTTTACTATTGTTGAAATTTCTTTTTTTTTTTATTGTTTATACTCCTGCCCTATTGGCCTTACGCACTTCGACAAGAGTCCCCGAGAAATACTTTTTTGGATTAAGCATAACCATTCTACTTTAGAAATTTTCTATATATTAACCTAATTTGCGTCTACAGCCGACTTTATTAGGAGTACTCGCATTTGCCTGGACCACCCGTCAATGGGTTCTCTCGCCAGAGAAGAGGGAAACTGTAGAAAACCTCTCTGAGTACAACCGGTTTATCGACAGTCGAGTTCTAATGGTGTGTACCGGACAATAATCGACGGTGCACATCATTATACCTCGACGTCAAACCTCCCGCTCAGATTGTCTCACGTGCCGGAAAAATACCAAGCCAAGTGGGCGCGAACCAAGGATACTTATACCCTTGGTCCTTAAACGACCGCCAATGCGTGGCATCTATCCGACTGAGCCAATCTGTCGGTTTGAAATTTCTTTTTATATTAAGTAAAAATTTTAGACTATAATTCCGGATTAAATACGGACAGATTAGTACGGATTAGACTGAAAAATGTCCGCAAATGATCTGCGTTAGTCTGATATCAATCGGAACGAAAACCTAAATCCGAAAACACTTCGGAGTATTCCTGAATGTCTACGAATTTTAGAATTTTTCTAAAATAAGTACGGTTCAATAAGAATTTTTTTTTCAAAAAAACATGATATTGTCATATTATATGTTTTTGCGGTAACTGATTTAAAATCCGTGGTTGAAAAGTCATAATTCAAAATGGCGGCTTCAAAATAGCGCCAAAAAAAATTGAAAAGTTAACTAATTCGTTAACTTAAAATTTTTTTTGTCGCCTTTTTAAAGCTGCCATTTTAAATTTTGAATTTTTTACCACGGATTTGGAGTCAGCGACCTTAAAAACCCCCCGAGTAGGCATTTTCAGACAGTTTCGTTAACTTAAAAATTTTTTTTTGGTCTCTATTTTGAAGCCGCCAATTTGAATTTTGAATTTTTGACAACAGATTTGGATTCAGCGACCCAGAAAACCCCCGAGTAAGTATTTTTGGCCAGATTCTTTAACTTTTAAATGTCTTTTTTTTCGATGGCCCTATAGAGCCCATGGACATACACAGGGCACGACAATGACAGTGAAGGGGTCAACTGCATATAAGAAGTAAATTTAACACAAATTTATTAAAAATAAAATAATTAGATACAAGAAACAGAATTTTGAGGGGACACCACTGACAAGGGACACCACTGACATTTTGCCTTATTTCTCAATTTCGAAAAAGAATGACTTTATTTTTACGCTAGCGTTATTTTTAATTAAGTTAAAATCGTTGAGGTGTTCAAAGTACATGTAATTACTGAAAATGACATACAATAAAATTTTAAAAATATTATTAATATAAACAATTTTTTGAGGGGGAACCACTGACATGATGTGCTCTCCAAAAGGTTACGTGCTTCTGCCACCAACCGAACAAGTTACAGATGTGATAGAATGTTGTAATATTGTTTCTTTAAGAAGCTATACATATCACCAATACTATTAACGCTTAATAAGGCGATAATTATCTGCACTACACGGAGAAAAATTCTTTTTTAATGATTACAATGGTCTACATTACAGCTCGGATATGTGACCACTTTTTGGAATGATTACGAAGACTATGTAATGTGTTAAGAATTGAATAGGAAAGATTACTATAGTTTTTATAAGGGATACCATGTTTGTACTCCTTACAACAGCTATAGTAATCATCACAAAAAGTGGCCACATATCCGAGCAGTAATATCACGGTAAATCGTTAGGTATTAAAATAACACCAAAATGGATTAAAATAACACTAAATTGGATTATTTTAATCCTTTTTGGTGTTATTTTAATACCTAACGATTTACCGTGATAGACTATAGTAATCATTATGAATAAATTTTTCTCCGTGTAGGTTATTTAAATATCAGACATGATATTCAAAATTTGCGATAATTACTTAAAAATATGAAACTTACGGACAGGCGATTTTGATTTTTTTTCTAGCACTGGATCAAAATTATTCTGCTAGCACAATTACTATATAAAAATATAGACTCTTAGCTGTACAAAATAATTTTTCTGGTACTAAAAATGTGAGTCAATAATTTTTATTATTAGGTAAAGTTCTGATTTCTTAAGTGCGGGGGACACCACTGACATTTTGCTTCTAATTCTTCTGCCAAATTTTTTCAGAGAATTTCTAGCGACTAAGAATTATTAATTTAAGTAGAAGGAGTGATTACAAGGTGGCCGCAAAATTTTATTTTCAAAATTCTCTGACTAATTTTTTATTTTCCCTGACTAACAAATTTTTGAATTATGTAATATTCTGCATTGAAATGTCTGTAAGAACGTCCAAACTTGAAAAAAATGTAACGGCAGTTTTATAATGTGCTATATTACAAAAACGTCTAAATAAAAAATTTGAATTGACATTTAAATAGACCATGTCTATACTGCCAGTTAACTGGCAGAATAAGGAGGTTTAATTATTTGGCCAGTGACTAGAAATAAGGGAAAAGCTGGCAGAATAAGATGACTAAATAATTCTGCCAGTGCACTGTCAAAATAAGATGGTTTTACTATTTGGCCATTGTATTAATAAAGCGCCCATCAGGTATAAATATATGTTGGATGTTTGTTTGTTTATTTAACATTTTAACCAATCTTATACAAATTTTAAAAAAAAATTCCAAAACGGGTAAATTGGTTCTGCTTTAAGTGTGACTTGAACTAAACTTATTAAGAAATTTTTGTTAAAATTGATATTACAATTAATATTATAAAAATAATAAATATATAGGGGAAAGAGCCCCAAGATAGACATTTCGTTTAAAATTTTTGTATAAAGTAGGAGCACCTTATGCTTCTTGTTATTTTTGTTGTTAGTATGGGAGAAGTTCTTGATGCACATTTGAAGGAAAAAAAGCAATTTGTTTTTATTCTGCACACATTTTCTAAAATTTGTGTCTCACGAAGTTTTCTTATAATTTCTTCCTAAATCGGTAAAGTTATTTAAATTATAGCTTTTCAATAGGCCAAAAAATACCTAATATATTGTCAGAGTGATCACAAGTTTCAGATTATCAATTTTCCTGACAATTTACTGACATTAAAATTATATTCCCTGACAAATTTTTTTTTTTACAGGAAAATATGAAAGTTTACGGGAAATGAGTAAAATTTATGAATTTTAATAATTTCCAAAAATAACAATTGTAACCCTTTCTGAATTCAATTATTTTCTATAATTTACTACCAAACTTCATCTCTACATCAATTATTTTAAATAATTTTTCGAAAGTTCTATTAGAATTCAATTATTCAAATACAAAAAGTAAATTTCTTATAATAATTGTAATTGTCCATGTTTTTTTTCTTAAGTTATTAAGGTATAATATTTTCTCAAAAATATAGCAAAGAAATTCTTACAATTAATTTTTTAAAAATATTTTAAAATAATTTTTGAAAGATAATAGTTTTTTAATTATATAATTGACACATTTCCAAACAATTGAAATTTGGTAAAATCTTCTAAAAATAATTGAAGTTTTGAAAAAAGTATCTAAATAAAAATAATCGAAATTTTGAAGAATTTTATTTATAAATATGATCATTATTATTATTACTATCAATTTTTATTTATTTTGTTTGAAAATAATTGAATCTTAAAAAATTATGATAAAACAATTCGAAGAATTAGTTTTTAATAATATTTTAATGTAATTTTTCGAAAATAATTGAATTTCTTTAAAAGAATTTTTGTATAATTTAAAAAAAAACTAATTAATTTCTTATGGAATTTTAATTACAAATTTTGAACATTATTTTTTTCTCCAAAATGTTAAAAATAATTCTAAAATGTTATTACTTTTTTTAATAACATATCAAGATTCGCGGTAGAGAATCGCCGCCAAGTAAAAAACAAAAACCGCGAATATATATTCTCGAAATATCGGCTATTTTTCGATAAAATTGAATAACTCGAGTAAATCTTAACCGATTTGCCTCATTCTTTTTTTGTTGGATAAAGAATCAAAAAAGAAAGAATTCTGTCAAGTTTATTTGAATATTTTTGATACTTTTATAGAATTTAAGCTAGGAAAACCGAAAAAATAGCGATTTTTTGAGATTTAGACAAACGTGGAGCGTAAATTCCTAAATGGATTTCTAAAATATTTTAGAATATTATTAATTAGGTTAAAATCTCGATATACATTTCAGGAAATTTTAATATACTTTGTATTTTTCGAAAAATTTGGATTTTTCTCAAAAAAATGGAATATTTTGACATTTA